TCAATTACTGGTGAGTTCAGATGCTGATGGCACAATATATGAAACTCAAACTATACCTAGCTGGACCATCTTATATAGAGGCCATCCTTGTTTAGCTGGACCATCTTATGTCGGTTCCCCGCTTGCTTTTGTTTTAGTTTCAGGCCAAATGATTGAAAAACCCATACTTTACAAGGTTCATTTGCTTTGCAGGATTGATTTAAGATTAATAACTGATAAAAATCAAGGATATCGTTGAAGTGTGAAATGAAAGTAGAGATGACTAATTTTTTTATTATTTGGGTTACAGGAAATAAATTGTATGGTGTTGATATCATATATATACTACTTATGGATTGGAAGGGATAAGTTTTCTTCATAGGTGTCCAATCCCGTTTTCCGAATAAACCCTATGTTATATATAAGAAAACTATGGTCACTTATTGTCCGATCTAAATCTAATGGTTGAGAAAAAATAAAACAATAAAAGTTAAATTAGCATTTGTTCTCTCTTCCACCGTTGGACCAAGATCGAACGATAAGTGACCATTCTTTTGACCGTATACAGTCTAGGGGAATGGAACTACCATTTTCTACTTTCAATTTGGATAAAATTTATCCTGAAGCCTTGAATTAATGAGTTATTACAAGTTGATGGGAGTGAACTCTCTGCGAAAAGAAGGAAGCAAACTAATCTTAAACACAAAACCAACCCTACAAACCTAAGATCATGATCCTAATTAGTATAGGGGAAAAGGGAAAATCATCACTTGGTGATGAGGATTAGGGCTTCTGAAATATGCTATAATTTCACAGATTATGGGAGGTCTTCATATGATACTCGCTAGGGTCCAAACGTACCTGTAATTAATAAAGGCAGTATTTGTCTGATTATGGGATTCATTTTTTATATTACAGTAAAATATTTTCACGTTATTTGTTGGGATAGAAAAGAGTAGGGCTAACAACATTTTACATTCTTTAGATCTGAGGTGATTTTTAAAATAAACCATGAGGCTCCAAGTTTCACAACTTGCACCTTGAAGTTTTGAAATTATATCATATTTATACATTTTGTCTCATTGACGTTTAATCATCCAATAAATTGATGAGTTTTTTTGTCAATATGGTGCAAATGTGACTTACGTGGTAGCACATATAAGGATCTCAAGCTCACCATTATCATACAATCAATCAAACTTGAATGCACGAATTGATATAATTTCAAGAATTTGGTTACAATACGTACATGTATTTAATACAATCATCATCTTGACAGTCAGATTGTGGTGCATTGAATACATATATTCACCTGAACTAGACCATGAGATGGTTCGATTAAATACATGCAAGTATTGCAATGAATCTCCAATTTCAATATTTTAAGGTGCAATATAAAAAAATTAAAACTTTGTGACCCATTTTAAAAGTTACTCCAGACCTAGAAAGTGTAAAAATGTAGTTAATCCAATAGAGTACATTTCATGGAAATTAACTGCTTTAATTACTAGATTATTATGTTCTCTCTCTCTCATATTGGAGACTTGATGGAATGAGGAATCTATATTTGCCATTTCATTGCTGGGACCTAAAAATATAAAAGCCCATGACCTCAAATATGAAGCCTGACTTGCCCTAATCGAAGTAACCCCTTTGGTTAGATAATTAATAGATAGATACCCCAAATAAAAAGTAAAATTTAAAGTCCATTTTTTTTTTCTTTTTTTTTTTTAGGGATTTGTTATTAGTGTTTGTATCATACTTAACCAATCCCGAAACTACTAAACACCGGTCAACAGTATACCGTCAAGGACCCACAAGACTTTTTCTCCAACTAGAAGGCCAATCACAACGCGACACATGTCGGTATCAGAGGCCAATCACAGCGCAACACATGTCGATATCAGAGATCAATCACAACACGGCACGTGTCAATGTCAAAACAAAGCTAGAAACTCTCTTCTATAAAAGGGGATCATTCTCCCACAATAACTCCTAATGTCATTTGTAATAAACTATTCACTAGAATTCACTAGAACTCACTAAAGGAGAGCTTGAACCTATGTATTTGTGTAAACCCTTCACAACTAATGAGAACTCCTCTACTCCGTGGACGTAGCCAATCTGGGTGAACCGCATACATCTTGTGTTGTTTGCCTCTCTGTCTCTATGCATTTACATACTTATCCACACTAATGACCAGAGCAATCTAGCGAAGGTCACAAACTTGATACTTTCTGTTGTACCAAAGTCCTCGCCGATTTTGTGCATCAACAATTAGCATTCTAAAAATCTCATTTGACATTCTAAACTTTCTATAATTAGAAAGAAAAATACACTTATAAGAAATGTAAAATGAAATTTTTAGAATGCTAATAACAATTTCCTTTTTGTAAGTAGAAATAAATACAAGGGCACGTATCTGATTAGAAAAGACAATGAAACTGTACAACCTATGTACTATAATATAGTTAATTTAATTACATATCAGATGATAATGAATTGGAATCGATAAATGAACTGAGAAAAAAATTGGATTTTTAGGGGTTACTAATTGCATAAATATATAGACATTATCCAACGTATATATAGGGTAGTGTTACTTGCACATTCATTTATACTTCTCACAAATTCCTCTTAAATTTTGCTCGTCGGATCGAATGAATTGAAAAAATCAATGACAAAAAATTAATAAAGATGTGTAAGAAGTAAAAATGAATGTGTTAATTGCAATTTCTTATATATTTTTCTCGTTAACTAACTGTTTTAGGTAATTTACTAGGGAGGCAAATTGTTTGCCCTCCTGTTTGGGTGTCATTCTCATCCCCTCCTATTTTGTGCGATCACTGTTAAGCCACGTCAACATTTTATATTGATTTTTTTTATAGAGATAATAAGACAAAAAGCAATAAAAATATAAAATGTTGATGTGATTTAATCGTGACCACACAAATGAAAGAGGATGAAAAGGGCACCCAATCAGAAGGGCAGACAATCTGCCTCTATTTACTAGAGATGTGGTACATAGAAAAGACTCTGTCATTTGTTAATGTCAAATCGTCATGAGTCGCTTTGAAAAATTGCTTAGATATTTTATGTTGATTAATTGAAAATGAAGATTCTTTCAAATTTTACCGCACCCTTAATGTTTATTTGTTAAATCCAAAACGGCATATGTGTCATTATGGACCAAGTAGGAGAATACAAAACTTTTTAATATTCTAAGGTGGTCCACATGACATGGTTCATGTGGTTCGTAGAGTTTAACATTTATTATTATTTATAAACAATTCTATTGGTGAAATTAAGATAATTAGTTTTCTATCTTATTACGGTGATGGGTAGTAATTGATTATCGGTTTCAAAAGGAAACAGATCATCTCTTTGCCTAATATAGTACACACACCCAATAATGGTTACACTAATAGAAAACACAATTAAGGTTTTTTACGTGCAAACTAAGGCAAGAGAAAACACCAATTTGCTTCACCGGTGATTCAAAATCAAACAGATTGGAATCTCATTGCGTCTGGCATCATGGCTCGAGGTATGCTTGGTTGTTTATTGCATTTCCACATCTAATTGAATGTGAAAAATCATGAAGTTTGAAGATTTTGGCTTAATTACACAACAAACCGGAAATAGGGTAGATAATTCTCTTAAAAAAAATGTGTTAACACATCTATATGTCTTGTTCTCTCATCACATGACCAGAAATAGAGCAGCTTGTCTAAAAAAAAATGAATGTACATCTATGTGTCTATTTCACTAGGCACGTGATGAATCGTGAATAGGGGAGCTTCTCTAAAAAGAATTGGTTGGATACATTTATAAATCTATATCTATTATCACGCGACGAACTGAGAATATAATGAACTCTTTGAAAAACAACCGACGATATCTACATTTATTAGTCTATATTTCTTATCATGTGACAAATCAGTAACACATCAAATTCTCTAGAAAAAACAAGGCATGAGCACGCAAGGGTTTTGCAGGGCAGTAGTCTAGCTGTTAAGATTGGTTTTGGCAAAGGATGTGGGGTATGGGAGGATTAATGAATAAAAAAATCTTGACGTCGAGGTTGGTTGAAGCTGAAGAAGTAGAAGAGTGTTGATTATTGTTGGTGCCTATGAGGAGAAATGATAGAAGGAAAGATTAATTTATTGGCAGAGTAAGGATTGGGTGGTACTGGTACCCAACAGAGGCCTAGCCCATCCTCCATTGAAATCCTAATTGTCCCCAGACGGCTGTGTTGCTGTGCCGGCTGTGCTTTTCTGACCCTTGAAGCACTCTTTGATATCCTACACACCGACTTTTTTCTGCATATATATCTGCACAAACTTTACTTGTTTACCTTGAAATTAGTAATTTGGACCAAAAAATGGAGTTATATAATTTTTAGCAAATGACTTGGTTCAAAGAAGTAGGTATTTCTGCTAGGGATGTGATATGGTGTTATACCCCGAAACACCATGAAATTTTTATTTCCTACTATCCTTCCAATCATATAGTATGACACTTGAGCATAAATTTTTCTTCTCTGTGTTGTGTGTTTTTACAATGAATTGTTTTTGCATACGTGTCGAATTAGTTTGTAGAAAAGACGTGTCATCATTCCTCCTCCTACAACAAGGTCATTCATGGGGAACAAGATCCCTATTTGGATTCTCTTTATAAGGATTTCAAGAATTAATTCATTATATCCGTTCATCAGTCATCTTACGGTCAGAAATTATTTTGAATTTTTTTTTTTAAATCAAACAGACAGTGCCTAATGAAAATTGACCGCAAATGTATGATGAACGACTAAGATGAATTGATATCTAGGATCCTTATAAAGAGAATCCAGATATAATCCTCATCCATTCATGGAGAAAGTCGCTCAAATACGAACCATTTATTTGAGCCCACTACACAATGTATATTAGATGATTTAAAGTAAACTCCACGAATTGTAAGTTTCATATTACCTTATTAAGCTGACCTGCGCTTGAGCGGAATTATATTTTATACTATGGTCAATAGAACATGTAAAACGATGGGTTAAAAGGGGGGAAGTCAGGCCAACCCGGCGTTGTTGGGTGGTCACATAACACAGAAGCCCCACGTTTTAACCTTCACATCTCTCTCTCTCTCCCTTCCTCTACTAAAACCCCTCCTCCATTTGCTCTTCTTTCTCAATTCCCGTTCTTCTACCTTTCCCCATCTCCCTCACTCACTCACACACGCAACAAACACGCACACTCTCCAACTCTCTCTCCCTCTCTTCAGTCTGATATAACAACTCAGTCACACTGCCTGAAGCTCAAAAAAGCCAACTCCTTTCCACTTCCAAAACGCATTCTATTTATAGCAACCAGAGAACGAAACGAAAGCTCCAATCTTTTTCCGTGGTTTCTATTTTTAGCACTTCAGTGAGACACCGTACTCAACAATGGCTGACCCAACTCACTCAGAGAACGAGTCAAGCTTTAACTCGTCCTCACCCTCTCCAACTTCCCCGTCCTCATCTGGGTTTTCCCAGTCCATACCTAACTCGGGTCTAAACCAACTACCGGTAAGGTCCGACTCGCCCGGACCGGATCAGAAGCGGGCCAAGCGAGCCAGAGAAACCAGCAGCAAGCACCCGGTTTACAGAGGGGTCCGCATGCGGACATGGGGCAAGTGGGTGTCCGAAATCCGCGAGCCCCGGAAGAAGAATCGGATCTGGCTGGGCACATTCTCGACACCTGAAATGGCCGCGCGTGCTCATGACGTGGCGGCCCTGACAATCAAAGGCAACTCGGCGATCCTCAACTTCCCCGGACTCGCCGGGTCGCTGCCCCGACCCGATTCGAACTCGCCCCGGGACATCCAAGCCGCGGCTGCCAAAGCCGCTTCCATGGAGACTCTAAACCCGCCGCCGCTGCCACCACCGTTGCATTCGTCTTCGTCGTCGTCAGCATTGTCACAGTCCTCGTCATCATCCTCAATGGTGGGTACAAGTACGAGCGGGGACGCGGGAACGCCAGAGGAGCTGGGGGAGATAGTGGAGCTGCCGAGCCTGGGGACGAGTTACGAGTCGGCCGAGTCGGGGAGCGAATTCGTGTTTGCTGACTCGGTGGAGGGGTGGCTGTATCCTCCGCCGTGGTGGCACAACAGTTATTTGGAGGAGGAGTATGGGTATAATAATCTAATCAACAGTATTATTAGGGATGATCAAATGTTAATGTCTGAGCCACCAGCTGCCGAGTGTGTTGGAGTCGAGGCCTTCTTGTGGCAACATTAAATATCAACCGTTGGATCTTATTTTCTTGTTTGTTGAGTTCATTTAAAGCCCTTTTTAATTTTATTTTTAATTTTCTTAGGATATATACCTCTCTTTGATCCTCCTAGACCTATTTTCGGTTAGTTTTGAGTATTTTTTTTTAACGCTTTTGCCAAATGGTCAATGGTCTGTGTCCGCGGTCCACACAAGTCTTCAGTCTCTTTCTTCTGCTCAAATATTTCTACTTTTCTTGGTAATAAATACAATAATAAATACAATTTATTCTTTTGGAGTTTATATTATCAACCGGAGACGTTTGAGTGGCAGATTAGACTAAATCACGCAACGGATCAAACGATATTTAATATTAAAAGATATGCTACTTACACATTCTATTTTACGTCTTACATTCATTGTTAATTTTTGTTAACACACTTCATTTCTAACACCGCTAGACCATTGTGCTACAAGAGATCAGTATTTAGCTTTTCATAGTTATTTTAGGAAGTGATTATTTCACTTCCTTGGTTCTCCCATGCACTAATACGTTTTTCCCATCTTAATAAATCAAAGCAGAACCAAGTCAAAAAAAAAAAAAATATATATATATATATATATAGTGCATAAAGAGAAAGTAAGAGTGTTAAAATTACTACCTTTATTAATTTTGACAACTTTTAGATATTCATATCCTATGGGTGAATTAAACTTTTCCTACCCAAGGTTTATTAAAATACTGTTACAGGCAATATATTAGTATTTTGTTTTGCAAGGAATTCCTACAACTTTCTCAAAACATCAAATTAGTGATTTATCCAATTCGGAGTGGTTTACTGATTTCAGAAATTTTGTTTCTTAAATTTTGAGTCAGGAGGCAAATTTGACAACAAAATGGCAGGCTCTGACCAATATATGATTTCTTTTGAGATTAAAGATCGAATATATACATTAACAAACTCTACTTGCCTACTTGGTACGTATTCTTTTTTACATGCATTATTGCCCCGCCCATGTACTACATGATTTTGGGCACGTTTGCATGTGATGCATACGTGTAAAAAATGGGACAAATATGAATCAATCATATTTTTTGTTATCTTTTCTTGCAGAGAGAATTTTACATACGTAAATAAATTTCATCTCGTTTAAGATTATGGTTACCTAATTAGATAAGTGCATTATATGGAATTACCTAGAGGTATGCTGTTTTTCGTCTAGTTACGAAGAGATTGTACAACATGGTGCGTAACATTTTATTTTCGTATTTCTCATCACATAATAAGCGCACACATAATAAATGTGAAAACAATAAGGTACATTATCGAAAGTACCTAGCAAATCTCTCCTTGTGAGATGATTATTGCTGGGTACATATCCCGTTGTTTCTGCATCCAGCCACTACTAAGGTCTTTGGTGTTCTGGGTCTTCTGACAATTACATTCATATATGCATTAGCACATATTGAATGCTCTATGCCTGCACTTTTTTTGCTTACTGTAACTGGTTCCAAAGATCCTACTGAATCAATCACATTTATTATTAAAGAGATAGATATAAGTTTATGATCAAACTAAGAACATGCATATAACAAAAAAAAATATATATATATATATATATATGGTCATTAAAATATGATAATTTTAGACCATAACTATGGGGTTTCATAGGGTTGTTAAGATTTTCTTTGTCCTCTTTCAACTTCCTTAATTGTTGCTGAAAAATGGTTGTTGGTGCTAATATTATTTACCCTCGTGCGAACAAATTTTTGCGACAATATTGCAATTAAAATATATGGGTTATTGTTTATAAACCCTAGTACTTTTGGGTTAGTATTTGAAATTCACATTATACAAGCTACAATATAATACTAAATTTTTCTTAAGTACGAAGTAGGGTGTTCAAACTTGAGTGTAAGATAAGAAGTATACTGTTCTAGCCAGCTTGGCTCAGCTCAGATATATATCTTCATTTAAAACCTTGTATTTCGTCTTTTTGTTGCGAAAACAAATTATTACAAGTAAAACCATAAGGGCAATCTGATCGTATAGAACCAAAGTTGAAAGACGGAACTACAACACCGCTAATGAAGTTGTAGTTCTGACTTTGTTCACATGTCCAGGTAAAAGTAACATAAGTTGTATGATTCCATTATACATAGTATATATAGTATATACAGTACAAACCTTTTTATATATAGTACAAACTATGTTTAAAATACTAAATGATTTCTAGGGTTTGAAAGCTGTCAATCGCCTTTGTTAATCAACCTCACGAGCTTCCTAACTAGCACTGCATAAGCATCCCTACCAGCTCACAACCAAGCTCCCGTACTATTCAAGTTTGTGCTTCCATTCATCGACCAAAACAAAAAGTACTATTTAAGTTTCTGGTATCTAGGATCTAGCTAAACATTTTACACAAATTTGAAAAGGTTTTTTGTTCACATTCTCCTCATAGCTTTTGCTTTTAGTTGATTACAAATGGAAACTTTTCATTCAATTATCTATGGACAAGAAGATCTTGAACTCATATATGGTTTTCCTGTGTTGAGAAGGAATTTCACATCGATAGAGATGAGGGACTTTATATGGGTTTATGAAAGTTTGGCGACTTCTCATATTATCAATTGATTTTTATGATGAAGCATTAATTTTCTTCACAACGAAGCTCTGAGATGCGTGGCTCTCCATAGAATACAAAAAATATATAATGATTGAAAAATTGAAGTCAAATATCTCTGCGACCCCATTGTATATTTTGCATCGCTGGAAGATGTGAGAGCAAAGCAAATTAAGGACCCCAGTTATTTGATTAACATCTTTGTCTTCTAACTAGGATTAAGATTATTGTTTTGGAGGTTTCTGTAATACTATTTTATGTGGCTGGAAATTGGGAGTCCTTTTTTATTTAAATCTTGCTCGATCATCGCAAATAAACGTCAAAGGACCAATTATTTATAAACTTATAAAAATATCCAGGACAATCTTCACTGTTTAATCCATGGTGATGAGAAAGATTACATAATATTTGTGTCCACTACCCACGACCCCATTCTCATTTCATGTATGTCTTTAGAAAACTAGACGTCTCACCTGTGTAAGGCTCCTCAACATTATTATTAACACTTCTTTAGATATGAAAGCGACTAGCTAGTGACATAAAATGTATATGTAGATTTTCGAGAATCTGTTGTATGGTATCAAAGTATGATCACGTTCACGGTCGGTCAGGATATGAATAAACAGTTAGTTTCCGTGATACATAAATTGATTATACCACGTAATTATAATTCAGTATTTTACAACACTGTTTCCTACTTTACTATGTGATTACTAGATTATTTATTAGTGAGTGCAAATAGTGAGTGACATTTACCAGTTTGCTTCAAGAAAATGAAGCATTCATTTACTACAATCAAGACTATAAAAGTGATTGGGTAGTGAGTTCGTGCAGTTTAAATTCGGAAGTTGACCCTTGATTATCTAGGCAATTGATCGGGCAACCCAAAACCCAACTTAAGCATTTGGTGTGTTCTTTCATACCTGTAATTTCCGTGCTAATTAAACTGTAAATAAAAAAATTAGGGTTTCACGAATCAGTCAGTGACTTTTTATTATAAACAGGGGCTTTTTTTATTTTTTTATTCTCTGCTCGTCTTCGTTTTCCAATGAATGAAATATGTAATTTCTGAATTAATAATATAGAGTATATAGGCCGAGAATTAAATTAATTAATCACCTCCATTTAAAAATAATTAGATTGATTAGTGTAGCATCTAATTAGGCGTCGGACTGGGTGGTGTAAATCACCAACTTCGATGCAATTTTTAACTCAATAGAATATACTGTTTCTTCAAGCATAATACACTAGTTATTGCTTTCTAATCTTCGTTCTTCCAAGTCAAATCATCAACTAATCATTCTTCAAATGTATTTTAATATATGATCATCGTACGCAGATCTGATTTGGTTTATCGTGATTCACATTATTAGGGTTTGGAGAAGCGACGGTAATTAATAAGTTCCGTCTACGAAACCTCTGTATGCGCTCGAAATTGACCAGCGTGTGGTTGCTTCCATTTTAGTGAGATGATGATGAAAGATTATTATAAAATGATGATCGAAGAGGCCCTGATGCAGGAGATGCATGTGTTTCCATTATATTATTGAACATACACTGACTTCATTAGTAAACTTGTTATACATAAATCGTATTTTTATGAAATGTAAAACTAATATGCATTTACATATTGACTGCCAAAACTTACATTATTGTAGTTAAAGTTTTGGTCAAAGATGTGTCCATGAAGTCCCATATAATACTTCTCTTAAAAAAGAGAATTTGTCATATTGCCAGTTAGATATTTTATTGTGTATATCCTTCTCATAATGTGAAAACTATTTTTTAATAGTTACATGATGAAAATTATATGTACATAGACATATACAAACAGAGATAGCTATGAAATTATCGAGTGTTGCTATTTGGACTGCGTTTATTGACCTCCTCTTTAATAAGTCCCATGTACATAGGTGAAGTCCATCTTGATTGAATTGCTCATCAACAAGGTGATCATTAGTGAATGTAAAATAGCATTAGTCTTTCTCTCTTCCTCCACAATTATTATTATTTTTTATTTTTTATTAAATGATAGATTTTCATTCCATAGAAAAAAGGGTTACAAAGGAAGACTGCTCAGTCCATTTACAAATGTCATCCTTAATTATGATATGTCCAACTGATAATTTAGTTGAAATTCCCTTCCCCGAGTCCAAAATGCTTCAACAATTTATATCGGAAAGTATTATATATACATAAAATCATCAAAAGTAAGCAGGTAGAATTATTTGTGGCCCATATAAATTTACGAATACATGACAAGTCTCTCATATACATGCTAAAAGCACACATGGACATTCAATCAAAGAGCCGTCCCAATGCAAATTAAGGCCTAAGAAGAAAATGAAATGAAGTTTTCCTAATTTAGTACCTTAAGATGATTTTTTTTTTCTTTCCATTTTTCGCAACATAAATTTGAGGTACATCATATATATTAGAATTGTGAGAATAAGAAATTTCGTTTCTTATTTCTAATCAAGAATAT